GAGTGATATAAAAGAATAAAATAGTAAAATCAAATTTTGACTCGGCATGACTTTTGTTGAGCATTACTTCCGTTTTAAAAAAAAAATTCAGTATAACAATTATTCATAGTAATACTACTTGTGTTTGTTTCTTAGTGTGATATGTTGTTAGGTAAAACATCAATGTACTTCAGTGTAGTGTTTACTCAACATACGATATTGTTGTATTAAATTAACATGAACTATGCTCAGCATGATATACAACATGTGATTTATTATAAATCGGGGTATGTTTTTTTCTTAATTTATTCTAATTAATAATGGAAATGGGTGTTAAATCAATATATATATTTTTTCGACTAGGATCGTCGTCGTCTTGTTTAATAACTTTGTACTTGTTTACAGCCTCACTACTACTTACTACTGTCAACATAGCACCAATATTGTTCATTATATAGTTCCATCATATAAGAACAATAGACCACGGAATTCTGTGCTTCAATACTTACATGCTATCTTTATAGATCATTCTACAGTATAATTACAATTTGATAGACAGACATACGTCTCTCTTCCACCATGAATGACGTATATATTAATAAAAACAAAATAAACAATTGAGACCTTTATAACTAACATTTAATATGTGTCTGCATGTATTTACTTATGTAATAAGTGTTATATTCCGCTGAGAATAATGAATGGTAACTGTTGGAATCTATTTCTGGACTATCACTATGGGTATATTTTTTATTGTATAATTGTTCAGTAACTAAACTATTCATATCTGTATCCCTCCTATTATCAGCTTTATTATAACCCATAGATTATTATTATTATACGATTTACCATTCTTCAGTTATGCTCAGTCTACCAATTACTATCTCCCATATTTGGCTAAATCTTGTACAAATGTTGTTCCCTATTTTATGGTACGGTTAGTGTATAAACCCAGTATGTTTGAAATACATGATTCATATCGCACAGGCTGAGATTGGTGTTCTGGACTTAAGAGGTGGGGCTAGAGGAAGCAGGACCGATAAGGACTCTAAACTGTTCGTACGGGTTTTATGCGTCATTGATCCGATCGATAAGTCACTGTTCTCTTATTGGCGGTATCATTACGCTATACATTAATAGAACGCAGGGCACAAGTTATAACAATGAGTAGGTATACAAGTAATAAAGAATGGGAAATTAATTAGATATCACAATATGATGACAATAATAATAATCATTGCGTCGAGAAATAGAAGTAGATATGAAAAGGATGAATAACAACTGGAAAGAGGTGGAAAAGATTGCACAAGTCAGGGTTGGATGGAGAATGCTAATCGGGAGGCCTATGTTCCTCCACGAGGAGTAACAGGCGTAAGATCAATAGTAAGTAAGTAATGCATATTTTTGTCAAAACAATATTTACACTTCTTCATTAAAATAAAATTAACAAACGATATGATGTTGATAACACAAAATTATTTCATATAATCAGCACTAAAATAACTTTATCAATTGATTAGGTTATCCTATTAAGAGTTTGAAACCAAGTTGATGAGTTCAAAAGGATTGTAGTAATTTTAATAATTGAATTTATGAATTGATGTAAATTAGACCGAAGTTTCCGGGTTTGAGTCCAACAAGTAGTTTTATGGTTAAGCATTGCTGAAGAGTTCTATATTAAGACGAAACATTTATCCAATCCTTTCAGTTTTTCAATAGTGGTCTAACTTATATCAACTTATAAATTTAACTATTCTAATATCTTATTTTTTTAATTCAGACATGCATCATTTTTCTTAAAGTTTATAAATTTTACTCTGTTAATCCACTCAAATTTATCAATGAAAAGAATAATAATAATTACTTAATTCATAAAATCAACAATCCTATAATCACTAAGTGATTTGTAAAGATTAAAAGATGGCCCTCAAATGCCTTGGTTTGGTCGAGGGTGTTCTCATATGACCATGCGTATACAGCCACTGATAGGGAAGTCCTACTCATCGCCTTCTCGCGGCATTACTGTTGTTTACGAAATTGGAAGGACAAAAAGTGAATGTCTGGCGCTTTAACCGGGTTGATAGACACGTAGGGTCTACCTAGAGGAGTTGGAAAACCCTAATTTTAAATTAATGATGATCATGGACTCCAGGATCCTGAGGGATCAAATAGTGTATGAACCAATTGTTGGTCACCGGCCACCATGGGACCGCTACCTTGCGGATCAAACCTTTAAGTCAAAGGCTCCGAGTGTGACCTCCTAAAAAAACCCGCCTGCTTCGGTTTGGGCACCTGAGCAGTATCCCATCTCTCACATAAATGGAATGATTTATGTGGCGCATATCCATTTGGTACCTCCTTGTACCAATGTTTATGTGTTCAAATAAATAAATAAGAGATGGAAAGGAATGGAATATATATGGTTAGTCTGAAAATATTATGGGTTATTCCTTTTATTATGTAAGTTAAATAATTGAAGATATATCAACTTAAAATACTTTTTCTGATATCATTCATAAATATAACGATGAAAGCTAGATACATCATTTATTAATGAATGCCTTATTTCTATCAATTGAGATCATCTCAAATATATAACTATACTTTCTTTACTGTTCATTGTGCTCATATATCATTACATATTTCTGATAATCTTCGTCTTCTTATTACATTATCGAAGTTTATGAATAAAATAATGAGAATGTGAGACATAAGGGGGAGTGCAGTAATAATAATAATAATTAAGGCCAAGGTAACAATAACGATAGGACGTACTTCTTTTGTACACATAGTTCTGGCTTGAGCTCATGGATAAGTGCTTAGGCTATTTTTAGTAGTTGGATACGAAGAAATTTACGTAGATTTGAACGAATCGTACATACAACCTTAAATTTAAACTATAGATCCGTAGATTGATTACAGTCAACTAGGTGTTCAAGTATAGAACTTTTATCAGAATCGGTTTTGCGGAGATTTTTAGAAATTTCACTGGTTGAAATCATGAGCACTAGATGGCCGTTTCGTTCTGGTATGGGCCCTCTCGGCAGTGCGCATCCACGATCCCGCACTTCGCGGGATTCGAACCCAGGACCTACTGATTTCGCGCGCGAGCACTTAACCATTAGACCACCGAACTTTAACTGCCTTCCTCTCGCCCTAGTCATCTTATTACATTCACGTTATAATCCATTACTAATTTACTAAGTCTATTGTTATTATTCGTGTTGCGTAATGTAATATTATAATTTTTCTATTACGTCATCTTGGTTGTTCTTGTTCACTGTTCCTCATGGAACTACGACCTTAACAAAAAAACATTTTCATATATATACGATAGTACAGCTTGATAATAAATTCGTTGAAAAGAGATCCCTTCACTGAACTTCGTGTTTCTAATTTGAAATTTTGAAAAAACTACTGGCACATATAGTTTAACCAGACTACAAGTACTTAATAAATAAATAGACTGAATGTATCACACAGAAACTCATTAGTATTACTTCTCTACAGTTCATACGAAATCTGCCCAACAAATACCCGAAACGTGATCATGAAAAGCTTATTTTACAAAATTCAACCAATACCAGCCTCATTCCTTCAAAATACCTCTCACATTCATTATTTGTAGCATATATGGATGTCATTTTGGGTTAAATTATTTAGATACCTCATTATTTCATGTTTTATTATTTCATGTACCGATGATTTCAGAAACTTCATTTCATCGTTAATCATCCAGGCAATCAATTGACAATCAAGAAGTCCAAGATCCTGTATGCATTCTATGATCCAATGTTCCATAGTTTCAACCTTCGTAGATAAATGAATACTACGGTGAGAGAATAATTTATGGACAACATTGGAGCGACACTAAAGTGACCTTGAGAGTATCCACCTAGTAACTAGGACCAAATGAGGGTTATAAACCAGAGTGAGAAATTAGAATTAGAATTTACTGTTGATGGTTAAGGTTAGGAATTAGATTTAGGGTTTCTGTCACGAACTAACATCAGCTATAATGGCAAAACTATAATTGATTCAATGGATGAGTGAATTTCGCGCCAAAATCCGAAACCTGTGATCTTACACGGTATCGCCAATATTACGAGAAAGTCTTTACCCTGAACCAAATAGTTTTTCAAAGTTCTCTAATTCTCCAGGTAATATCGATTCATAATCGAGATGATTTTCAAGCAAATTCCCGAAAAAATCTCTTACCTAGAAGATGAAATATTTTCTAACTCTCTTAATTAGTATACTTGAACTATATGTGTTAATTAGCAATGATAATCATTTAAATTTTCTTGACGATATCTATGATTCTGGTGAATGGCTTATGTTCCTCCACGAGGGGTAACAGGTGTTAGGAAGTAATTAAGTAATATATGATTTTTATAGTTGAGATCATGAGTCAATTGAAGCTAGACCACCATAGAAAACCTGGAAGCACTGGACGGTTGTTTCGTCCTATTGTGGAACCACTCACCAGTGCGCATCCACGATCCTGCTCGCGGGATTCAAACCCGAAGCCTTCGGTCTCGCGTGCGAACGCTTAACCTCCAGACCACTTAGCCGGCCAGCATCCAATGGTGTTCATGTCTAACTTCAACTGATCCACGAAATTGAGTGGCACATTCACCATTGTCTTCAGTGAGTTACTATCTCACAATAGACCCAGCGGAACTCCATTGGTCACGACTTCTCATTAGGACTCCAGGATATACCTCTTGAAGCCAGTCACCAGTGAGCATATGTTGATATAGTGGTGTAGAGGTTAAGCGTTCGTGTGCGGGATCGACAGATCCTGGTTTAGAATCTCGCAAGGCGAGATCGTGGATGTACACTACTTAGGAGTCCCACAATAGGAAGAAACGGTCGTCTCATACTTCCACGCTTTCCATGGTGGTCTAGCTTTAATTGACTCATCATCTCAACTATTAAAATTACTTATAATATCCACAAAAAACCCTTTCTGATATTAATATATGATTAACTGTAACATTATTATAAAATTGACTTACTGAAATATAAATAATAACTAGCATATATATACTTCACTAAAATTTACAGTTAATAATTTTCTAAAAAAAGTGAAATTTTAAATAATGTGCTTGTTTTATTTGTTTCATTTCATCTTATTATATCCAATCAAATCGTACTGATCAAGTGAATAACCTTGAAGTAAACGATAACCAATCAGATTTAAGAAGAATATATGTATTTGATTATCACTTGATATTATTATCATTTATTCAAGTATGCACATCTTTAAATGAATAGCGAAACTAAGTTAGTCAATCAGCTGATAGATGCATCATTATATAAGAAATATATATATACTGAATATTACTATAATAAAAGTTACCTATTTTTAATCAACCATATTATGATGTTGTGTTCCAAAGAATCATTTGAAAGTTGATCGTTTTGTAAAGCGGTCAGGTTAAATAATGAGTAAATAGAATATCTAATAATAGTAAGTAGAAATAATTGTTTTGTTGGTGAATCATTGTACTTAAACAACTGTTAACCTACTCCTGATCTATCTTAGTAATGATACTCAGTAATATATGAACTAATTGATTAGACTTTAAGAATTAGTGCATTGAGATGATTATCGCATGTGGTATACATTCATCACTGCCCTATTCCCAAGTCTCGCAGTAGGATAAAAACAACTAGATATGATCATACTAAAACAAAATACGAATTTCATACATATAGTTGCTTTTATCATTTTGAAAAGAGCAAAAACAAAGATTCTAGTAGAATAGAATGAATTCATTTTTATTTCGTTTGGTTCTCGTCAGCTGCTTACAACCTGTGATATTTAAAAATCATAATTACATAATGGGTTTCAAATTACTTTCATGAGAAGGTTTGGTTGGAAGTTAATATTAAAGACATATTCGTATAGTATAGCAAGTGTTTAAATAAATTCAATAGATTGAATATTGTAAATATATATTCATTATGTGAAAGAACATTCTACAACATTGATTGTGACAACAGTTCAAAGGGCTAGAAACAAGTGATTACATAGTGAATAAATACTGATGCGAATGTTGTGATGTTATGTCCCGATAAACATAATGAATGATGACTTTTGGATCTTTTTATGGACCAATACTAAACGCATATTTTTATCGTATAATTGTTGAATAACTAAATTATTCATATTCCTTTTATTATAAGCTTTATTTTGACCCGTAAACTATTATTATACGTTTTACCATTCTTGAGTTATACCCAGTATATTAATTACTACCTTCCTCATTCACAGCCATATCTGGCTAATTCTTGTACAAATTCATATTATTTCGAGGTTTCTCGTCAGCTGCTTACAAACCAAAATTGTGATAGAATTTTTTACATGGAGATAGTGTGAAAACAATTGACATAAATGAGTGTAAATAACTGGATTACAATAATAACTATATATATATGCTAGAAACAGGTCAGAGGTCAAAAGAGGGGGGGTTAATCCAGGGTGGGTGGTGTAATAATTTAGTGAAGTTCATAAATTGTGTGATAATTGTAGAGATTAATGGAATTAAATAATGATAAGGTAGATTACGTAATAATAATTAAATAGGATTTGGAAAGTTAATATAATTTAAGAGGATCAGGTGGTGGAAATGTGTGAATAAAATTTATTTTAAGAATTAGGTAATAGGGGGGGGAGTATAAAATATCTTAGAATAAGTAAATGAATAAAGTAACCAAAACATACTATTCTGCATCAATGTTTGTTCCTGCTCTATTTAAATTCATAAAGGGAACCAATTGCATGAAATTTCTTGTACAAATGTTGTTTCATATTTTATTGGTACGTTGTGGTCTACTTGATTGGTATGTAAACAGAGTATGTTTGAATTAAATAATTCATATTGCAGAGGCTGAGACTGGTGTTCTGAACTTGACTGACTGGGCTAGGCGGAATGCAGGGCCAATCAGAACTCTAGGCTGCTCATACGGGTTTACGCGTCATTGGTCCGATCGATAAGTCACTGCACATAAGTCGGCGGTCACAAGTTATAACAAGTGAGTAAAGCTCAGTTGATAAAATAAGATTATTAGTTTTGAAGGTAATTGAAATAAAACTCGATGATGTAATAAATTCGAGAAAGAGTTTAGAGTAAAAGAAAAAAATTTAAGATGTAGCGAAGGAGTATTTGCCACCAAGCTAAAGAAAGATTAATAACTATCTCCTTTTGAACACCTAAGTCATGTTTTTGGCGTTTAATAGCAACGGCTTCAGTAAACTTCAGAAGACTGGATTTTAGCTGCTTACCAAATCACCTTAAACGACTTCAAGGTATTTATCGACCTGATGTCCTGTATCAAGGAGATGTTTGGTAATCGCAAGAAAGACTCTAAACAGTGCACGTTATCAGTTCTGGAACGGAAAGTTTACAATATATGGTTAGTGATGCATGGTAATTTGACTTTAGTCGGTCACAATGCCACAGTTACATCTAGACTACCTTACTTTATTCCCCGTTTTTGGATCAGATTTCATGTACTTTTGGTGTCGATAAGTTATCCAAGATAGATGATCTAATTATTAAGTAATCAATAGTGAAATCTCATTTGAACAACCTGGCAAATATTTCTTATACTTTACTTTCGTAGGAGAATCTATATTGCTTATTTTTCCTTTCCTCTCTCTGTCTCTCTTTCTAATTATGTTTTGCTTATAATAACAGTTAGATGTTGACAAACATCAAGTTTGTTTCAATAAATCAACTTTTATCCTCAACTTTTATGTGACATCTATCAGTACACATTTAATATCTTACTGTATTGTGTTTTTCATTTGTAGTTAATATGCAATTCAATTACAACTCAAAGATAAAATAAAATATATAGACACGTTGTCATTAGATATGACCTTTTCTATGTATGATTGACATCATTTCAAATACTAAAATAATTTGACTAATATAAATAAACTAATGATAACTTAAGTATCATTATCAAAGTTTGATTTGATCATTTCAAATAAATTGAGCATTGAGTAGATTGTTATAAATAATAATAATAATGCCAATGAGTAGAAAAATTGTTTTATGACGTTTCGTAACTCAATGTAAGTCACTTCTTCAGAGTAAATAAATAACCAAGTCATAATTAATCCAAGTTTAAATAGTACAAAGGAACAATACAAGAATATTAGGTGAGAATAATGAAGAAGATCAAGTCTGAACAAATCAATGTCATGTCATTTCAGTCAAGGTGATTCATATGAGATATGTTTCTATATTTGTATAAGGGTATGTGTGTTCTGTTTAAAATAAATACCATGGATTAGTACTGCAATTTTACCATACTGTCATGACACAACAGGAGAACTTCAAAGAATCTTAAAACAACACAGAATTAAAGTATATTACAAAACAACGATTACATTTCAAAATACTTTCGTTCGCTTAAAAGAAAAAATCCCATTCGTATCAACACAGAACTGCGTCTACAAATTAGATTGTGTCGATTGTGATACCTTCTATATTGGACAGTCAACTCGCGGAATCTTGACTCGGAACAAAGAACATATTAGGTACATAAATAAACCTAATAATCCTGTAGAACTGGATAAACTTCAAATTGAATCGGCAATAACAGTTCATGCCATTTTCAACAATCACCAAATCGATTTCAAAAATATCAAAATATTGCAAAAAGGCTTTTCCAATTACAAAGAAAGGAAAGTAGTTGAAGCGTTCCATATAATGCTTAATCCTACTTCTCTCAACAGAAAAGAAGTCCTTACCATACATGCTACTTGAACTGTCTATCCAAGCTACCATGTCTGGTTCTATTCACATTTCACACTATTATCATACAGGCAAATTAAACTCTATCCTTTCCCACTAAAAATGTCATATTTTGTCACCACTTAACATGCATACACTTACACAAATATAGAAACATATCTCATATGAATCACCTTGACTGAAATGATATGACATTGATTTATTCAGACCCGATTTTCTTGATTGTTCCTTTGTACTATTTAAACTTGGATTAATTTTGATTTGGTTATTTATTTACTCTGAAGAAATGACTTACACTAAGTCACAAAACGTCAGAAAATCTAATTTTTTTTCATTTATTAGGATATCGACAAATAGATTATTTTTATTTATAACGAATGATAACGTTCAGTTGCAGTGTTTTTGCTATATTTTCCTTATAATTAAGCTCATTAATTATGTCTTCTGACAAAACTGCTTTATATAATATTATGCACAATATTCATATCCGTCCCTAAAGTTATCAATCAGAATACCAAGGAAATCAAACAAGGACTACCTAATGTGATCAACTATACCTGAAATATAGGACCATGATGCTCTGTAAACTATAAATTACAATATGTGAAAAATCTGAATATTTAAGGTACAAAATGAAATAGTAATTTTATGATTTATTAACAGTAATTTATATACGGAGAAAGATTTCTATTTGTGTCAAATGGTAACTTAAAATTAGAAGTAAATGATGACAGCATAATCTAATTGTTCAGTAAATACAAAGTGTAACCTTAGTTGCCAAAGATTGACTTCTATTCTCATAGTCTTAATGACATTCTAACCTTCAATTTGAAATTATGTCTAATTAATCAGATTCATTTATGTTAAATATTCTTATTAGGATTTTGTTATTTGTAATAATCATATGATTCTCCAACTTAATATCGTATATATAATATCACTGATTGAAATCATAAGTCAATTGAAGCTAGGCCACCATAGATACCGGCTTAGTGGTCTAGTTGGTTAAGCGCCTGGCGCGAGACTGATAGGTCCTGGGTTCGAATCTCGCGGGGTGCGGAATCGTGGATGCGCACTGCTGAGGAGTTCCATACTAGGATGAGACGGCCGTCCAGTGCTTCCAGGTTTTCCATGGTGGTCTAGATTCATTTGACTCATGATTTAAATCAGTGAAATTTCTAAAATCTCCACAAAACCCCTTCTGGTATATATATATATATATATAAGAACATTACCAGTCAACTCCACCTGTAGTTTTTCTAGAGTTACTGCTGGTTCCAAGCCTGGATAAAGGAAGATGATTGTACATGGGGGTCGGTAACCCTATCCCGTAGAAGAATAAATCAGACCAGATGAAACATTACCAGTCTTGTAATCCAATATATTATTTTAGCAACTTTAAACATATAAGATAAACAGACCAACCTAAATGTATAAGTGAAATATTTGTGATTTAAAATTAGAAAATAACTCTTACCATCATAAAATAATATTCGTCTAAGATAGTTTGAAGTAAAACATGATGGTCATGTGTATTTGTATGCTTTATACTTTATTTACACCTTTATAACAACATTGAAGTACACACAAACAC